CTGTTAAATTTTGCTATTTTGACTGGGGTGAGATGATATCTCATAGTTGTTTTAATTTGCATCTCTCTTAGGGCTAGGGATTTTGAGCATCTGGACTCTACTTCTTTTTTTTATAATTTTTAATTTTTTTTACAGAGGTTTTGGATTTCCATTCATTCATTGCCGCAATTTTCTCCCTTCCCACCCCTCCCCACCAGTTGGCTTCCCCCTCAGAAGAAAGAAAAAAAAAGAAAAAAAATTCCTTCATTAGTATACAATTCCCACGTCATTTCCCCCCACCTCCCACCCTTAGTACACTTCCCTATGCAACCTTAATTCTGGATTCCTGTGCTACCCATAATACTGTCAGACACATTTTCTTCTGTTGTTCATAGAGTATTCAGAGATATGCCTTTTAAGAAGTGGATAGTAGATTCTATTTCCTAGTCTGCATGAAGCTGGGACTAATACCTGTTCAATATGGGTGACCTTTCTGGCATTTGACACACTGATGGCATAGCTTTCAGCATCACAGCAGCCATCAGATTATCTCAATGCATTAAACTGACAGACAAAATCTGTACAAGCAGATATATAATCAAGCTATAATTAGTAATATGCCAATCACTCCCCCAATACATCAAATTGGCAGATAAATCTTGTACCTCTAACAGAATAACAAGCACACACATTTCTTTCAGAGCACAAATGTAAACCTTGCCCAGAGAAATGGATGTGGCATGAAGACACCTGCTATAGTATTTCTGAGGATTTTCAAACATGGCAACACAGTGAAAACATGTGTTCTCAGCAGAATGCTACCCTATTGAAGATTAAGTCCAAAAGTGTTTTGGTAAGTGCCTCTGAGGGATAAAAACTTTTCTTTATCTACTGATAGACTGTAATGGGTGTGAGTAGAAACGTATTAAACCAGACATGACTCTTTATTATTTTAGTTGTGGTAGGAAGCTATTTGTGTTTGATTTAGTGAGTGAACTTTAAAGATAAATATCTTTAATGTAGGAACTTAGGTCAGTGGAGTCATAGAGGCTAATGGGAAGGGATAGATATAGGGTCCCTGAATGTTCAGATGTGAAGATTTTTCAGACTAGAAATTTTAGCTCGAACCTCAGAACATGGCTTCTAAATATTGATTTTAAAAATGAAAGAATGGACAGTGTTCCGGATGGTTATTAATTTGGAGTACCCAAATTCACTCCTACTGAGTTAGTTCCAACTCATAGGGCTCTCTTTATTTAAGTCTTAAGGGAGGAGAATATATTGACCTTCAGAGTGCCAAATGGATTCAAATACAGGGTCACAAGAACTTTTAGTTTAGGGTGTCATGCTATACATTACACCATCAGCATTAATAATGTTATGATGTCTACACAGACTGAAATTCTTTGTTTTCACTACTGTCTATGTATGTATATATATTAATACATACAAGTACATAAGTGTATGATTAACACTCACTCATTGCATTCGAGTCAAAACTGAATCAGTTGTCCCTCCAGCATGTTTCTGAAGCTGTAAACTGGATGAGAGAAGATTGCCTTTTTCCTCATATCTATTTTACAGAGCTGTGAGGAGATTGAAACAGCACAGAGGCTGCACTTAGTACTGAAACCATCTTCCTATGGGGAACACTACCATATCTCTCTGTCTTTTTCTTTCTCTGAACTGACTTCAGAGTTGGTTACATCAAAAAATTTCAACTATAACAGAGTTCAAAACTAGTTAAAACTTTATTATTAAACCCTTGGAAAATGGCCTTGCTGAACATTTCATCATTTTTATATTTCTATTAATTTCTGTTTATAGTAATTAATGATTTCATTTGGTCTGAATTAAATGTTTACTACTTAAACATTCGAATCTACTACGTTTTGAGGTTCCTTTGATAGGAATATAAAGTTAAGTAAAATTGATTAACACATTGATTAAATGCATGACTGATAAATGAAGGCACAGTGCTTCACACCTATGAGTAACTCCATAGGATTAAAGACCAGGAGATGCACTATCATAAAGCTAACAACCTAATAGATGTGATGAGACAGAATTACTCTCTCCTATCGAATTGGTATGCTTCAGAACTTATTTTACAAAACAACTTAAAATTCTGCATTAGAATATTTGAAATAGTAATATATGTACATGTATATATGTATAGTATATGTGTATAGTATATGTGTATATGTATATGTATATGTATATGTATATGTATATGTATATGTATATGTATACGTATATGTATAGTAATGTGTGTGTGTGTGTGTGTGTGTGTGTGTGTGTGTGTGTATATATATATATATTCAGAGGGGGGTGCTGGTGGCCTAGTGGCAAGAAATTGTGCTGCCATCTCAAAGGCCTGCAGTTGGAGACCACCAGCCACTCCAAGGCAGAAGGATGGGCAATTCCCTCTCATGTGATTAATTGCTTGCCTCTGAAAATCTGTTGGAGGATCAGCTATGGGTTAGTTCCAACTTTATAGTAAACAACAACAACAATGCTTGTTATACGAATGAATGCTGGAGGAAATGTTACAGCAAGGAGTAAACTTTAAAATTCACTGTTATTTATGTAACATCTTGATAACTGAGTGCTCAAATGATCTTACTGGGAAGTTTCCTTCCTCATTCCCACAGATAAGATCTAGTATCCTAACAATTTTCCTTATTAAGTTCACCAGTCAGTCCTGAGTAGACTTTACAGAAGTTTCAGTTTTATGCAAATCATTATTCAAATAAGTCAATCACATCCTTTTCTGTGGGGACGAAGGACTCCATACTTTTAGGCCGTACAGAAACTGTCTCCCACAGCACTACTACTGCTCCAGTCTTCCTGCGTGTATCCCAGTGAGGCTATGTATGGCATGTTCATCTTTCCAGGGCTATCTGCACTTGTAACTAACCACCTGCTGCCATCTGTCAAGTGTCTGGTGTCATGAGTTTGTCCTTCTCAGTAATCTTGAGGCAGGAAGTCTCTCAACTACCAATGAATGAAAATATGATCAAAACTAGCACTTTCAATTCTTTTTAGTGTCTTTGAAAAATGCTAGACAAAGACAACAAACAAAATCTCAATGCATTGCATTTGAGCTAGAACTTACTCATAGCTGACACTCCAGCTGATGTTCATACCAGAGGAGATTGTCTTTCTTCCATATGAAAAGTACTCATGTAATATAAGTAACAGTACAGTTTAAAATAGTAATAAGATATTAAAAAATTATGTACAGAAGATGAATTGTAAAATTTTTATAATTTATCTCTCTTTCTCTGAGGAATTTATTAAAAAAATCCTGAAATCATCTTCATATTATTGGATAGGATTAACTCCCACAAAAACTGATCATTATGAAACTGAATCTGACAAGATTATCTCTTCTCCTTGGTAAGTCTCATACTTTCATTGAGTTGAAGTTGGTGTTCAACAAAAACATTTTCTTTTAGAGCATTGTTTATTTCCTTTAATACAAGTTTCAACTGAAATTACTTCTTCAAAGAACATTTTTTTAATTCAAATTCTTTAAAATGTGGAACCTTGCAACAAATGTCTTGTCATCATTATGACCAATACAAATAGTGTTAGCCATGTAAAGAAGAATATTGGTGGATGGTGATTTAGTAAAGGAAATTATAGGGATCGATAGAGTTGTCTGGATTTTAAATACACCAAAGCCTGGGCTGAGGGGCTGAGTGGTAGAGAAACAACCATCAATTGTTGACTCTTCTCTTAAGATACTAAGTTATAACATGTGTGTCTTGGTTAAACAATTCTAGAAATAAACAGAATATACTGAGTAAATGATTTATCAAGAACATAAAAACAAAGTACATTTTAGTGTTGGCATATATGCTATAACTGACATTTGAAATAGGTATTTTTGAATAAGAACTATGAGACGATATATAAGACTATTTCAAATCAAGAGAATAAAGTAACAAATCATGGTGTAGAGTATGTTTGGTGTGTATAAAGTATTTCCCATGTAATATATTGACAAATGCATTTAATAATATTTTATTATTAATGAACATTTACACTTCTTCAATTTTCAATGGGGGAAAACTTCCAACCTTTATCTAATGGCAGTAAATTGTCATTATATTGATGAATTCTTGATATTTGGAAAAGCAGAGTCATACTAAAGAAAGATTTTCAGTGGAGTGCTGAGCTCCATTGGAAGCTGAAGAGTTGAGAAACACCTGGTAACTGAGGACCCATAAAGCAGAAAGAACCTCAGGGCACCTGTGAGGAGATCCTTCAAACCTGAATCTAAGAAACGAGATGTATGCATCCTATCACACTGCAGCAAATTTAAGTTCGTTTGAATGGGTTTTTATTTTGTGTTTTTATTTTTTTAACCTTTATGTAGAACTTATATGCATGGAATTTAGGATAAGACAAAGATGTCTGCAATGAGAGGACAGAAGTTTTCATCCGAGCAATTCTGACTCATAGGGACCCTGAGTAAAAAAGAATCAAAAACTCTAGCCCTATGGAATCTTTAACAATGTTAGCAGATTTGCTTGCAGGATTTCAAACACTATACCAATTCATCCCATTAAAGATCTTTCTCTTTTTGGCTTACATTTTACTTTCCCAAACATAATGTTCTATTTCAGGAACTTATACATTCTGACAAGATATATTTTTTAAAAGTGAAGGGAGTATTTATAAAGTAAAGGTAGACTTAGGAGTAGAGAACTAGAGATCATGTGTATGTCAGGGAGAATATAGAGGAAATCTTCTTTTGATATGATGAAGTGTTTGTTAATTATTTGTAAATTTTGCAAATGGGAAGATAATCAGTATTAGAATGGATAACACAGTAGATATTACAGATTGCTAGAAATCAATGAAGAAATTTAAAAAACAGTAAGAACTGTTATCAGTAGGATACCAATACATAAAAACCATAAGTAATGTTTTTGTCATTATGTGCTATGCCATCTGGTTGTCTGTGACTCATGGTGACTCTATGTACAACAGCCCTGAAGCCTGCACTATTCTGGGCCAGTTTTAGTGACTCCAACATTCCTACCCTCATTACCCCAGTTACTATATCAATCGATCTCATCTGGGGTCTTCCTCTCTTGCACAATCCCTCCACTCTATCAAGCATGATGTCCTTCTCCAAGGACTAGTCCCTCCTGGCCATGTGCCCAAAATATGTGAGACACAGCTTCAAAATCCTAGCTTCCAAGGAGAAACTTGGTTTCACCCTCTCTAAGACAGACCTATTTGTTTTCTTGGAAGTCCATGGTTTGTCGAAGACTTCTCCAGCACCACAACTTGAAGGCATCTATTCTTCTTCTGTCATCCTTAGTCACTGTTCAGCTCTCTGATGCATTGCAAGTAATTGGGAAGACCATGACCTGGATATGAGACTATTAATAAGACTATTCCTTGGTTCTGGTATATCTTATTTATCAAAATGGCATCCATGCTTTTAAAAGGAGTTTTTTGTAGCATATTTTCCAAATGTTGTTGTTGTTATGTGCCATTGCGTTGCCTACCACTCATAGCCACCCTATAAAAATAACTCTGAACTCTGCCCTATCCTGAGCCAATAGCACTGTCTCTAACACACCTGCTCCCATTGCCACAGTCACTGTATCAATCCATCTCATCCAGAGTATTACTCTCCTGCTCTAATCCTCCATGCTCCCCCTTCCAAGCATGATATCTTTCTCCAAAGACTGGTCCCTCCTGGCAACATGCCCACATTTTGTGAAACAGAGCTTCAAAATTCTTACCTCCAAAAAGCAGTCTGGATTCACCGTATCCAGGACATATTCGTGTGTTTTCTTGGCAGTCCATTTTATATTCAATACTCTTCTCTTGCACCACAAAGGCATCATATATTCTTCTTTTATTCTTAGTCACTAATTTTTCAGCTCTTAGATACATGGTAAGTAATTATGAACACCATGGCATGGATTAGGTGCACTTTAGCCTTTATTGTTGTTCCTTATCATTCTAGAGAGATTCTTGACAACAGTCATTCCCAAAGAAGTTCGTCTTTTGATTTCTTGACTGTCAATACCAACAGTGTTGATTGCAGACCTAAGCAAGAGGAAATTTTTAACAACTTTGTCTTCAAGTGTGTACTTCATCTATCATAACGAAACCAATTGGCCCACTGGAAAGAATTTTTGTTTTCTTGATGATGAGATGCAATCCTTATTTTATACTATAGTCCTTGGCCTTCTGCAGCAAACACTTTAATTCCTCCTCTGTTTCAGCAAGCAAGGTTATGTCATCAGCATAATGTAGGTCGTTGATGAGTCTTCCTCCAATCCTTCAAGATGTCACATTCTTCTAAATAAAATCCAGCCTCCAAAATGGTCTTTTACACTAAAAGACTGATAAGATGTGGAGAAAGTATATACCCCTGATACCATCCTTTCTTGATTTTGAACTATACAGTGTTTCCCTTAGTCTATTTGTACCACTGCTTCTTTGTCTAATACTATATGCCATTTAGGCATAACTATTGTTTCCACCAACTACTCATAAGCAAGTTCAAGCTGATGATGAAGCAAATGAAATAAAATACACAGGAACCAAATTTTAACCTTATGTCTATCCCAGTCAAATTCCAAAACCATCTGGGGAACAGGTTTGAGGCTTTGAATACCAATGAGTGAAGCCCAAATAAGCTGTGAACGGATATCAAGAATATTGTCCATGAAGAATGCAAAATGTTATTACAAAGGTAGAAGAGTAAGAAAAGACTAAGATGGATGTCAGATGAGACTCTGAATATTGCATTAGAGCACCAAGAAGCCAAAGGTAAAGGAAGAAACCAAGAAATGAAGGAGCTGAACAAAAAATTTCAAAGGGCAGCTAGGGAAGACAAAGCAAGGTATTATAATGAAATGTGCAAAGAGCTGGAGTCAGAAAATCAAAAGGGTCAAACTCACTCAGTATTTCTTAAGAGGAAGGAATTGGGAGGGAAAATTCAAGACAAGAGTGGCAATATTTAAGGATGCTTTAGTCAGAATGTTAAACGATTCAGGAAGTATTAAAAGAAGATGGGAGGAGTATATAGAGTATAGCAAAAGGAACTGGTTGACACAGAAGCATTTCATGAAACAACATGTGAGGAAGAGCCTGTGGTGATGAAGGAAGAAGTTCAAGCTGCTCTTAAAGAATTGGCAAAAAACAAGGCTCTAGGAATTGACGGCCTACCAACTGACATATTTCAACCAACAGACTCTGCCCTGAATGTGCTCACTAAGTTATGCCAAGAAATCTGTAGGACAGCCTCCTGACCAACTGAATGGAAGAGATCAATATTTGCTCGATTCAAAAGAAAGGTGATGCAACAGAGTGAGGAAATTATTGAAAAATATCATTAATATCACATGCAAGCAAGTTTTTGTTGAAAATTATCCAAAAACAACTAGAGCAACACATCAACAGAGAACTTCCAGATGGGCAGGCTGGGTTTAGAAGATTTGTGGTATTAGGGATCTTATAGCTAAGGTTAGATGGATCTTGGCTGAAAGCAGATTACCAGAGGAATGCCCATCTGTGTTTCATTGACTGTGCAAAGGCTTTAACTGTGTGGATCACAACAAACTGTGGCTGACTCTGAGAAGAACTGGAATTCCAAAGATTTGATTGTGCTTGCACCAGGAGGCAGTCATCAGAACAGAGGAAGAAGACATTGCATGGTTCAAAATTGGAAAAGGTGTCTTCCAGGGATGTATTCTGTCTCCATACCTTTTCAATATATAGGCAGAAAAGATAATTTTGGCTGCTGGGCTGTATGAGGAAGAATGTGGCATCTGGACTGGAGGAGGAATAATCAATAACCTGCGTTATGCAGATGACACAACCCTGCTTGCTGAAACTGAGAAGGAGCTGAAATGCTTGCTGCAGAAGGTCAAGGACTGAAGCCTTCAATATAGACTGAAGCCTTCAATATGGATTGAAGCTCAACATCAAGAAAACAAAGACTCTCAACACTGGGCCAATTGGAAGCATCATGATAGATAGTGAAGAGATTGAGATTGCTAACAGTTTTAATTCACTTGGCTTCACAATCAATACTCTTGGTACCAGAAGCCAGGAAAGCAAGAGATGAATTGCATTGGGAGAGGACCTCTCCAGAGTACTGAAGATCAATGAAGTTAGTCTAGAGACTAATGTGTGCCTCCTCCAGGGTATAGTCTTCACAACTGCTTGCTATGCATCAGAGAGCTGGACAATGACTAGGGATGATCGAAAGAAAATTGAAGCGTTTGAGCTGTGGTGCTGGAGAATAGTGTTAAATATACCATGGACATCTAGAAGAAGAAACAGATTTGTCCTAGAGAGGGTGAATCCAGGCTGCTCTTTGGAGGCAAGGATTCTGAAGCTTTGTCTGGCATACTTTG